ATTTGTATATACACATAGTGGGCTTTGTAGAGTATATTATGTATATACATGTACATGTATATACATGTGCATATGCACGTATGTATATATGCATGCATATGTATGGGCACAATTATATTTGCACGGGCATGTATACACACACATGTAAACCCCCTCTCTATAATTTGGGCATTTCATTGTATGTATATATAGAGGTGACAAACCACACCTGTATGTGCATACAAATGTGCGTACATACCGATATCAGCGAGTGCTTAAATACAGGTATGGGTGTGTATACGCCTACCAGTTAAGTGTGCGCACGTGCGAGTATGAGAATGTGAGCACATAGGGTACGAGATCCACATACTGGTATAGGCATGGACTTATTGAATACATATGGATCTGCGTGTGCATGAGCATGTATACACATACATGTACGCGCATATACTTGAGTGCGCAAGTGTGAACATGTATGCATGGTTGAGTCAGCATGTGTGTTGGTGTAAGTGCGTATACATTTCAATGCATGTATTTAAAAAGTTGCCCATGTATGTGCGTGTGCATGTGTTATGTGAGCATTTCTGTTTACACATGTGCATGTATGCGTACAAGTATAAATACGTATACAATTGTGTGCTTAATGCATTGTATTTGTTTGCAAGCATATGCATGTGTATGTTGTGCATGTGCATGCATGCTTTGTGCACGCATGCATGGGGTGTACATGTATGCATGTGTGAGTATGTGAGAATATCTGTGTATATACGTGTGTGCGTGTGCACTTGCAAGCACGCATATACATATAGGTATGAGTTTATGTGCACATACATATAAATTTGTCAACAAAATAATCTATTGATGGGTGAACAAAATGTGGATGAGCGTGGACATACAAATTTGAACGTGTACGTGTGTACGTGTATACGTTCGTATGTACATTAATACATGTGTGCGTTTGTACGTACGTACATACGTGTGCGTGCACGTACATACGTACGTACTACGTGCGTGTATACGCATGTACACGCACACGTACGTAAGTACATGCATGTGTGCTTGTGTACGTACATATGTAAGCTTGTGTGCTTGTGTACGTACATGTGTGCATGTGTACGTAAGTACGTACATGTGTGCGTGTGTACATACGTACGTACCTGTGCACGTGTATATACCTGTGCCCGTGTGCACGTACCTGTGCTCATGTGTACGTACCTGTGCACGTGTACGTACATACGTACCTGTGCACATGTGTACGTACGTATACGTGTACTTACGTACGTATACGTGCATGTGAGCGTGCGTACGTTCGTATACGTGCATGTGCGCATGCGTACGGACATATACATGCATGTGTGCGTGCGTACGGACGTATACATGCATGTGTGCGTACAGACATATACATGCATGTGCGTACGTACGTGTACGTGCATGTGTGCGTGCGTACGTACGTGTACGTGCATGTGTGCGTGCGTACGTACGTGTACGTGCATGTGTGCGTGCGCACGTACGTGTACGTGCATGTGTGCGTGCGTGCGTACGTGTACGTGCGTACGTGTACGTGCATGTGTGCGTGCGTACGTGTACGTGCATGTGTGCGTGCGTACGTATGTGAACGTGCATGTGTGCGTGCGTACGTACGTGCGTGTGCGTACGTACGTGTGCGTACGTACATGTACGTGCATGTGTGCGTGCGTACGTGTACGTGCATGTGTGCGTACGTACGTGTACGTGCATGTGCGTACGTACGTGTACGTGCATGTGTGCGTGCGTACGTGTACGTGCATGTGTGCGTACGTGTACGTGCATGTGTGCGTACGTGTACGTGCATGTGTGCGTACGTGTACGTGCATGTGTGCGTACGTGCATGTGTGCGTACGTGTACGTGCATGTGTGCGTACGTGTACGTGCATGTGTGCGTGCGTAGTACGTGTACGTGCATGTGTGCGTACGTACATGTACGTGCGCGTGTGCGTACGTGTACGTGCATGTGTGCGTAAGTACATGTACGTGCGTGTGCGTACGTGTACGTGCATGTGTGCGTAAGTACATGTACGTGCGTGTGCGTACGTGCATGTGTGCGTGCGTACGTACGTGTACGTGCATGTGTGCGTGCGTACGTGTGTGTACGTGCATGTGTGCATACGTACGTGCATGTGTGCGTGCGTACGTACGTGTACGTGCATGTGTGCGTGCGTACGTACGTGTACGTGCATGTGTGCGTGCGTACGTACGTGTACGTGCATGTGTGCGTGCGTACGTACGTGTACGTGCATGTGTGCGTGCGTACGTACGTGTACGTGCATGTGTGCGTGCGTACGTACGTGCATGTGTGCGTGCGTACGTACGTGTACGTGCATGTGTGCGTGCGTACGTACGTGTACGTGCATGTGTGCGTGCGTGCGTACGTGTACGTGCATGTGTGCGTGCGTACGTACGTGTACGTGCATGTGTGCGTGCGTACGTGCATGTGTGCGTGCGTACTGCATGTGTGCGAGCGTACGTACGTGTGCGTGCGTGCGTACGTGCATGTGTGCGTGCGTGCGTACGTGTACGTGCATGTGAGCGTGCGTACGTGTACGTGCATGTGTGCGTGCGTACGTGTACGTGCATGTGTGCGTACGTACGTGCACGTGCATGTGTGCGTGCGTATGTGTACATGCATGTGTGCGTGCGTACGTGTACGTGCATGTGTGCGTGCGTACGTACGTGTACGTGCATGTGTGCGTGCGTACGTACGTGTACGTGCATGTGTGCGTGCGTACGTACGTGTACGTGCATGTGTGCGTGCATACGTACGTGTACGTGCATGTGCGTGCATACATACGTGTACGTGCATGTGTGCGTGCATACGTGTGCGCGCGTGCGTGTGTACGTATGTACATGTGCGCGTGTATGTGTACGTGCATGTGTGCGTGCATACGTGTGCGCGCGTGCGTGTGTACGTATGTACATGTGCGCGTGTATACGTACATACATGTGCGCGTGTCCGTACATACATATGCCCGTGTAAATAACATACATGTACGCATGTACGTATATACATGTGCACGTGTATGTACCAAAACGTGTGCATGTACATACGAACACATATGCGTATACATACGTACACATGCACGTGTACACACGTACGTGTGCATGTGTACGTGCATGTGTACATGCATGTACATACATACATGTGTATGTACGTACGTGTATGTACATACATGTGCATGTGTACGTGTACGTACATACATGTGCGCATGTACGTACGTACATACATGTGTACGTACATACATGTGCGCATATACGTACGTACATGTGCATGTCTACGTACATGTGTGCATATACGTACATACATGTGCGTGTGTACGTACATACATGTGCGTGTGTACGTACATACATGTGCGTGTACGTACATACATGTGCGTGTGTATGTACATACATGTGCGTGTGTACGTACATACATGTGCGTGTGTACGTACATACATGTGCGTGTGTACGTACATACATGTGCATGTGTACGTACATACATGTGCGTGTACGTACATACATGTGCATGTGTACGTACATACATGTGCGTGTGTACGTACATACATGTGCGCATGTACGTACATACATGTGCATGTGTACATACATACATGTGCGCGTGTACATACATACATGTGCGCATGTACATACACACATGTGCGCATGTATGTACATACATGTGCGCGTGTACGTACATACATGTGCGTGTATGTACATACATGTGCGTGTATGTACATACATGTGCGTGTGTATGTACATACATGTGCACGTGTATGTACATACATGTGCACGTGTATGTACATACATGTGCACGTGTATGTACATACATGTGCACGTGTATGTACATACATGTGCACGTGTATGTACATACATGTGCACGTGTATGTACATACATGTGCACATGTACGTACATACATGTGCACATGTACATACATAACATGTGCGCGTGTACGTACATACATATGCGCGTGTACGTACATACATGTGTGCATGTACGTACATACATGTGTGCGTGTACGTACATACATGTGTGCGTATACGTACATACATGTGTGCGTGTACATACATACATGTGTGCGTGTACATACATACATGTGTGCATGTACGTACATACATGTGTGTGTACGTACATACATGTGTGTGTACGTACATACATGTGTGCGTGTATGTACATACATGTGTGTGTATGTACATACATATGCATGTATGTATGTACGCACATATGTGAAATACGTACATGTGTGTGCATACATATGTACGTACGTGTGCATCTTTACATGCGTGTGCATATGCGTGCTTGTGTAAATGCGCGTAAATGCATCTGTACACACTTGCATGCTGACATGTATTTGTTTATACATATATTGGGAGTATGCAGGAGCAACAAAAATATTCTTTTCACTTTAACTACAAGTATGCTTCCTGGACTGTTTTGTGGTTTTTGAATCACATGGAATGACAGCTTAATATATACACACATTAGTCCAGGTGTATCTAGTTGTCCAGATGTCTATACATATGCATATGTATTCTTATTTCCACTTTACTCTATGGATCTTATAATTATCATTCATACAATTGGTATAAAGGTTAATTCATATAAGAAACATGCATGAAAGTAGATCTTTATGAAAAATTCAGCTTCTGTCAGTTACTTCAATAGGATATATAGGGTAGAACATACTATACATTTAAAGACAATCTGCTTGATCAAATATTGCTCCTCAGCAGTATTTCACTGAAGCCAGTATGAAAATGGCTTCACTTCTGCATGATATTACACACACACTGTTAATGTTATCAGGATGAAGTTGATCATACAGACCCTAAAAAAAAATTAAATAAATAAAAATATATTCAGACCACACAATATCAAGCGTGAAATCATCCCTCAGCTCTGGGCAAGATGAACAGTATCCTCATCCCCAGAACTGCTCATCTTGACTGTTACATCGCCGGTGGGGATGTGAAGGGATAGTAGTGAACACATCAAGGTTAATAAAATCCGCTGGAATGATATACCCATCCTCATATTCAATTGGAATTTAATATTACTGTTATACAGTCTCCCATATTCCCTGCAGGCCTCTTGACACCACCAAAAAAAATTTTGAATGCACAAAAAATCCAATTATAAAATTCAACTGAATAAAAAGTACAGCTTATTAGAAATCATCAGGAAGAGTATAAAGCAGTATAGGAAAGGAGACAAGAGTAAAATCAAGGATTAAAATTAGAAAAATTATGGAGGAGGAAAAGAAGTGGTTTCTCAATGGCAGTTTGAGACTATACCACACTGATGAATTTCTGAGCATTTGTCGGCCTATCAAGAGGAAATGATGTCGGACTGTGGATACAGCAAAGAAGCTCCTCCAGTTCCCAAGGAAAGAAAAGTGATCCTGGGACTCTCCAAAACCAGCCCTTTTCTAAATACACTTTCCCGAAGCATCCTCCCTTCTACACATCTGGCTTCAATGGGGCTTGTATTTCCTAGAGTGGAGTTTTGCTAGTCTCCTTTCTTCACCACTGTTGCAGTCTCTTTATCAGCCTTCTTCTTCTTCTTTGAATTCTTGTTACTAACAGAAGAGATGATCAGTTGCTGAAAAAAAGGCATTTTGTATCATCAATCTTGGCATTAAAACCATGCTAAATTTGTTTGATGTGCTGGGGCTCCTTAGCTCTGAGTATTGCAAAATTTGTATCAGACATTTACTTATACCTATTGATATTCAATTCAAGGCTCTCATCCCTATGAAAATCTGACCACAAATGTATTCACAGCTATTCATAAAGTATAGCCACTGTAAATAATAATAAACAAATTGACAATTTTATCATAAAAATTTACTTTCACCTACCAGTTTTTTCTAATCTATCATGAATTACAATAAACATTTATATTGACAAATGTAGAGTGAATATCTTTACAATACAATACATGTATTTCTGATGGAGAGGTGTTCAAAACCACTCAAATCTCTTGTATTGTAAAGATATTAATTCTCATTCACACATTTTCTACATAATTAAAAAGTTACTTACACCTGTTATTCATCTATTGTTTATATTTCAAATCTTTAGCGGTTCCCAAGCAAGCCTACAAAGCTTGACATGAAAAAACCTTAGCTTTATATAAAAGGGTTCTCACAAAGCTTTTCACATAACAAAACTTTAACTGTAGAGAAAAGGGGCCCCTAAAGTTCTTCACAAGAACAAACCTAAGATATATGTAAAAAGGTTCTCAAAGCTTTTCACATGGCAAAACTTTAGCTGTATAGAAAAGGGGCCTACAAAGCTTTTCACAAACAAACCTAGGCTGAATATAAAAGGTTTACATAATAAAGCAAATAGTACAGTAACTTATTAATACACAATGTAGGACTACATATGAAGGACCTATAACTGCCAGATTTGTACACTTTCCTAAAGTAAATACCAAGCCACAGAGTTTACATCTTACACAAACAGTAGAGTAAAACACAGAGCACAAGAACATGCATACCTTCAGTTCAGGATCTTCAATCTTGTATTGGGACTCAAATGATTCAAGATCAAATGGCAATCCTGTAATCCTGTGTTGTCCACCTGGCATTAAGAGGACAGTGAACTTGAACTGTGCAACAAATTCTCCTTTCTGAAAGAAGAAAAAAATGTTATATATACATACATTATATTATACTATATTATATATATATATATATATATTATATATATATATTTATATATATTATATATATAAAATTCAAAGTTTCTGCTATACAGCAAATAATATACACTCAATGATAGTTCCTGACAAGAGCCTATGGGTTTTGGCAAGACCAATAAAGGCTTTCAATAAAAATATAGACTATATAGACTATTCTGTAATTATTTGATTTTCTTTTCCATGCAACTGGATGGATTGCTGACCATATGATCCACACATCCATATAAACAGACAAATTGCAGATCCCACAACTTTATTCTCTGCATCTTTCTTCACAACACATTTTCACAATGATGATAATGAAACAAACTTACCCGTTCCACAAGACTGGATATGGATCAATCAACTTGTGAGATACGCATTCTAGGACACCCTGTTGCTTTTCTCATCCTCAAATAATCGCAAATTGAAAGGCATATCACGGTAGCCTTTCTGGACCTGTGGGAGGGAAAAAATATATATAATTAAGTTTTGCACTGCATTTTCCTTACCTCTATTCATCTTTAGTTCAGTAAACCTATAAAGTACCAACTTCACAACAGAGATCAAAAATAGTTCAAACAATATATTCACAACAAACCTGAGCGAAGAATTCTCGGGATGCCTTTAACTTAGATGGTAAACTTCATCAGTTTTCCTAAATATTGTAACACGTGCATCCATCTCCCTGCCCTGCAATGAATAGAATTAGAAGCTAAAATGATTTTGATGTGCAACAAGTGAAAATGGTAGTTTTAGGCCCAGATTATTATAAAAAATATATTATTATTATTATTATTAGTTATTATAAATAATAATTTAAAAAAAACACGTTCAATAACGTAAAACAAGATATTAATAAACTATTGCCCATTTAGAAGGCATCAGATGGCACCTGCGAAACTTTCATCAGGGGTCTGACATCCAAACACTGGATATAGCATGCTATCATCATCTGCCAAACATCTTAAACCATACAAAGTTAGCAATACATGATTCAACATACCTGGCCTTCTCTGTGGAAACAATGACATCTACTGCATAAACTTCATGTGTTTCAAGGTCTGTTTTTCTACTTCTTCCGCTGTGCTTCTGTTGGGTTCTGGATAATAGTCTTTTCACCATCAATACGTCCGCTGTTGAAGCTGGAAAGACAACATGCCTTCCACCGGTTTACACTTAAAGGTCTTGCTAATCTTTGTGACGGTACTGTAACAGCAAAGTTCTGGTTGCCAGGTTTCACAAGTCGAAGTGCAGCCTCTGAAGAATAATATGCAGCTAGAATCGCATCAGCTTTCCGTCCAGTAACCTATTGAAAAGAAAGACAGCATCTATTAGCAACATATCCTTGGAGTTTACATATAAAAATCTTATGGAATAACTATGACCCAGGCAGCAAAGAGGAAAATAGTATTTCTTCTCAGACAGCTATAAAACTTATTTGCATGAATATTACTGATATCTATACATATAAATCTGTATCTAGCTACATATGCAGAAGTGCCCAAGGAACATCCTGATGAGTTTGCTCCATAACTCTTACAGACATGTCCTCCAAAATATATTTATGAATTTTTGAGTTCTAAGGCCTGTCCACACAAGCAAACATGATTAGCTGACGGAGTAGAGATGATATTAAAGATGGACAAACTACCTCCACAAGCAATTTCTTGCCTGTGACATTCCATGGCCTTGTGTTTACTGATCAAGCCCACCTGTGTGAACAGGTCTTTACCCCTGCTAGCTACATGTAAGCATGTTCTCTGATACTAGGGATATGCTAAGGATTTGGATGTGAAAAAATAGCTTTAACCAGTGATATATATGTAAAATAAGTGAGGCTAAGACTTTAGAATTTATATATTACTACCATATAGTGTCTGGGGGTATTGTGTCTTCATACTTTTATAATACAACCTGTAAAGTCCTATTCACCATGACTGTGGCTAATTACAGCTTTTGAACATGGCTTATTCCCCAGTCATGGATGGTTCATCAAAAAGTGGCAGAATTTTTTCCCAGTAACTCATTCCAACTGAAAGAAATATATAAACAGCCACTAACATACTGTGTGAAAAGTTTCCACCAGCTACACCCACAATGACAACCCCACATCCATACTCCCCCCTTTGCGGGGCCCCCTGGCTTCCCATTCTGCCATTTTAGGGGATACATACTTGTTGACCACTTTTGAAAAACAACCCATCTCAGGATGAGCTAAATTTTAACCTCCTTTTCGAGGTCCTTTGCAGGCTTTTTCAGTTATTTTACTGCTTTTTCTCAAGCTTGATAAAAATATCAACCTATGTCTGGACTGGCAAAGATGTCACCCCCCCTTTCCAGGGTCCAGTACAATAAAACAAATATTTAGTCAGCAAAATCATTGGGCAAGAAACAAGGGCTTCTACACTCCATAATAGAATTTCTAATGCTACTAAAGTGCCACAAAAGCTCATGGAATTATGGGAAGGACATAGCTATTGCATTCAAAGACAGGAAAAGCAAATGAGAAGTGTCAATTTGTTGACTAAGGATGTAACCAGTCATGAAACTCGATGAATCAAAGGAAATTGTAAACAGGGTGATGAGAATATCCAATATGTCCAAAGTATAGTGCTGTTAACCGAGATGAACCCCCCATTTTAATTTTTTTTGTGAAAAAAAATATACAAATAAAAAAATATATATTGTTACTTCTCTAGCTGGGGATTGATGCCGAAAAATTACCCCTTTTGCAAAGAAATCACTAACACACATGCAGTCCACCACCCCAAAGTTAGGCATTTCTTTGCCTGAACCCATCATGAAATTTTGTTTTACTACCTCTATCTTTATATTTGTAATTGACTTTTCTTCTCTGCTATTATTTTTGTGCTTTCAACAGATGTAAATCCAAATGTGCCTTATAAACTATAGCTCCAAGTATATAAGCATTGGCATCTTCTGTATGCATCAATAAAGTTAATACTGCATATTGATAATGAGATGTTTTCTACAGAAAAAATATATACATATACATATACAACATATTAACGAGCACTACTGCAAACCATGCGAATGCAAAGATGGATTAACCCCTTAGACATGAAGGAATATTGCTAAAACCCCTTCTGGGCACTAAAGGAGTCATATCACACTCCAAGCGGTTAGTGCACTTGTGGCGAGTCTCTTCCGTCACCCTAGCCTTCACTCATGACAGCAAGTTCGCGTGACCCGGGCCTCGGCCAATTTCCCCAACTACAGCATGCTCACGTCACTCATCCCTTGACTCAAGTTTTTCTATGATGTGACTGCAACATCATCCGGGTCCAATGAGAAAGTAATAATCATATATCATACGGTGACATTGTATCATGAAGCTATTATATCTATCAGGACTAATAAAATAAAACTGGCTCCCAGTAACCGTTGAAGTTTACAGACATTTCAAAGGAAGGTGAAAACAACTATTCATAAAATCAAATCATATTTGGATTTTCTCTGATAGCTCTTCCTAGTGTATGATCAAGGGGCACAAGTAGGGTCACTTTCTCAGGATGGAGCCAATGAGGATCATAAATTTTTGTGTGGTATTTAATTCACTATAGTTTTAAAAATTTGAAAATAAATATTAAAACATTTCCTTCTTATTGCATTAAAATCCTGCATAAGATGGGAATCTTTTCGAAACTCCAAAATAATATTGCCTGTCCTATGTCTGCAAACTCTGTAAATCTATATTGGATTTCACTTTTTTCCTTTTCACTGATTAGTGTTATACCTGCAGTTAGAATATCCCACAATTTATTAGAATACATATTGATGAATATTCAAAAGCATTTGACACAAAAATATCAGAACTTGTTTAATCATTACTAAGAATAAGAGTTAATAGTTAAAGGTCATAATAAATAAATGTGCTAGAAAAAAGTTAATGGTAACTCCACTATGTAATAAAAGAAGTTGATGATGACATTACTATGTATCAATATGTAACTGGGGGATTAACTACTTTTGCGCATGTGGAGAATTAAAATTTGTGTTTAAAGCCATTCCTGGTCTAGAGGTGTATCAAGAGTTGTGCCCGGACATTGCCACTGCACATGCACACTAGAAATCTGGATTTAACTTTAATACAGGATTAACTTTAATGGCGTGTACAGACTATATATGGTGTATAAAAAGAAAACTTGGACCATTAAAAATTAAATGACAATCCAATGTTCCTTCATAACTAGGGAGTTGGAAGGTATCTTGTCAATAACTGATATATTATATTTCTTTAATTTACTAAAAGAATATCATGTAAAATGTTCACTGACTTTTCTTGAGAGTGTAATCTAAATGTTCCTACTTATACACAATACAAGTATACTACTTATCAATACACAAATGCAATTCCAAGCTATAATCTAGTTAGTTTTCAAAAGTTAAATTTAAGTATCAGTCAATAATATTTACCTTGCTTTCTTTTGAAGCACCAACAACAACAGTGTGGCCAACTACTGCAATCAACCCATCTAAGTGGGCACCCATGTCAATTTTGACCATATCGCCATTCTTCAGTGTGCTGTCCTTGTCCGAGAACAGAGGTGAATAGTGGTTGATGCAGTTATTAACTGAAACACACACTGGAAAAGCAAGACCTTTTTTCATGGTCTTCTCCTTCTTGAATACTTTATTGCATTCCTCCATTAGCATTTTGTCACCCTCAACACAGATGCCACGAACTGATGCATCAGGGACGCACATTTCCACAAGCTTCTTCAACGTCCCTGCAATAAAAAAGAAGGTGCAAGAATTCTGACAGCTATCTCAAGAATCTTCTAAATCTACTTTTATTAATTCTAGTAATCATATAATACTAAAATTGTAAATAAAATGGTGTTATAAACAATTTACTGGATAAATTCCCAATTAGGTATATGAAAAAAAATCAAACTAGTTGATTGGTGCCCAATTTAACAGTTCTCTCTTTCTGCCACCTGTTGCTTTGAAATATTGAAATGAACGTAAGACAAATTAGTGATTTAGGTAAATTCACATTTATTCATTACAACTGAGCTTATTGGTGAGCTCTGCATCTCCTAAACCTTGTCAATAAGCATCTCATAATCAATAATTAGGACAATTGATAATACCACTCCACACATTAGTTAAGTGCAGAGACGAGAACTGCATAAGCTATTTTCAAAATCAGTACAATTAGATTTTGTTACTGGACACTAAATACAAAAATATGTACATATACTGCCCACCACAAAATCTTATGGTAATTCTTTACAGTACAGACACACTTGCCAGAGATTAACTCAGTCACAATATTTGCTCATCAATCCAAGTTCCCATGACTGGGCGTGCCCGATTGCGTAAAGGAAAGCTTGAAGGGGGGCTCTGCCTTCAACACCCCTTCCAGGAAACACTGTCTTTACCTTAGTATGCACGGATATACAGAGCTGAAACTCGGGAGCTCAAGAGTGCATTTTAGGCTGTGAGGAGCGCTTTCTGCAATAATTTTTCTTCATATGTGGTGTTGCCATTTGTGCTGACAGATTATTTCCGTAGACAAATGTAGACCAACTTTTTGTCCTCTACAAAAATATCTTTAATATGCCCAAGGTTAGTCCATCTATACTGTTAAGATTAACAAATTTTATCAAGTTCCTAGAAATACAATGACCTTTACATATAAAACAATCTTGAGAAATAACAGTAAGACCTCAGTATAACATCTCATGAAAGCAAAAATTACCTTCAATATAAAATGCACTAGAAATTTGCAAATTACTCCCTCTCCCTCTTTACCAAATCCCCAACACTAACTGCAAAGTAAAACCAGTTCTTAATGTTGTGACATATTATAATTTATCTGTATATGGACTATCCCTAGACATCCTGAGACATATCTGGGGGGTTGGAATACTTACTGAAAAATAAAACCATTTCTAAACAATACAAAGACTAAATTTACTCTTTGTACAACCTTAAATTGAAGGTACCATATGGCCAAAGTTTCTATTAAAATTTCAACTGCACTCTTTACCTTTAAAAAAATATTCAAAATTTGAAAATTTTATTCTTATGCTTTCTAACTGATTTATATTCACTTGAGATCAATATATAACTGCAAAATTTAATAAGAGAAATCCATTTTCCTAAGGACTTTAATATAACAATTAGCTACAAGAATCCTTACTCAAACAGGGACTCAAAGTTCGGACAAGCTTTGAAAAGCAAAAAAGTACATTTTAAGGCTACTGAAAAAGTGAAAATTAGCTAGCACATAAATATGCAGTTCAAGTGTGATAAGTATATATGCAAGTCATAAATAAGCAAATCAAAAGATTTCAAAATCAATCACATCAATGTACTGCAAAGAAAATACATAGTTTTAAAACAGAATTCCTTATCTTTTACAATTAGCCAAATTAGAGAAAATTATATTCTTATGCTTTCTAACTGATTTATATTTGACTGATTTGACTTGTCAAAATCACACCTGACACCACCACAACTTGGGTCATATGGTGTCAAATCATTTATTACATATGTAAATCAAGGGTAATGATATAAAGAAAATGAAAAACTAACTAGTCAAAATAGTTGAATAATTCACTTAATCATATCTAAGTGAGAAGACCAGCTTCCCTTATACAAAGAAGGACCTCATAACATTGTAGTATACCTACAACTCTGGACAAATTTAGTGTTCCGTAATAAGCACATGAAATCCATAAACTGACATGGCTGTCACATCTTTTTCAATTTCCCTCTAACTGATCCTTGTAGCTCAGGCTTTGGCAATCTTCAAGGTCTAAGTGACGTTGGTTAATCTTTGTGGTATAGATGCACTAAGCCAGTGTAAATTGATAATATTTGTGTTGAGAACAATAAATTGCAGTTATCCTTACAAGAAATCTGTAGGCACGAACAATAAAGCCACAAATAAAGGAAGACGATCAAGGAAAGTAGCGCCCAGCCCAATTCCACTTGGTCCTCTCAAGTTTCTGCTCACCGTAACAGCAACTTGAATTGTTGAAAAAATAATGGCATGCTCTGGCAAGTGCATCTGTACTGTAAAGAATCACCAAAATCTTTACCAGGTAGTGTTTTGGACATGGATTAGACCAATTCCTACTTTGATGAATTACAAGTATACAAGCTGTTACTTTCAGAAAATGGCTTAGTTGATAGATTAGATATAGTCTTCTGTAGATGACAAGCTTGCAAGGAAAACTGTTGAGGGTGGGAGGGATTTGGGTCAAACAGCTGTTTTCAAAGCAACCAAATAGGAGCAGTTCTCGTGCGATACCTAAGGAGTTTTCCTATAGGCCCTTGGGGCAATAACCATAATATGAAATAAGACAATTAGATGGAACTAAAGAACTGCAACAGGTTGAAATTTTACGTGAAATCCAATTTCTCGCCACCTATCTTCAAAGATGACCAATACATTTCAAGAAATGGAATGCTTTTACAGACCTAGCCATAATTCATGAGATTTTTCTCATTATTTGACGATCTCCCATTGAAAGTATGTAAACAAGAACTTAAGCAAAAGACTAATAAAACCCCAAAGACATTCAAGTAGGTTACAGCTTACCAACTTCAAGGTATTTTATTATCATTATTTATGTCTACAAAGAGCTAACAAGTTCATAATTACAGCAGCCAATGCCAAAGCTATAGCACAAGATGTTCTTCACAAAAATATCCTTTTCAATAATTAATAATGTTATAATGATCAATGGAACTTATTCCACAATGCCTTGCTAACAAACAAGTTCATGTGAAATGCAAAAAAATCTGCAAACTACAAAACTGTGAATAAATAAACCAGGTTGATAACATACTTATATTTCTGACAATATATGCCCCTTTATTCATCAACAAATCTATAACCTCTGAAATGTGAATGCTGGTCTGGAGCCTGAAATAGAAAGTTCATATCTGCAGCGTTGGGGTGAAAGTCGCTTGCAGTGGTCAGTGACCGGCCCTCCAGCTGCCCGTGAAAAAGTTGGGCATCAATGGGCAACATGTTTCCCCCAATAAACAGGTGCAATTGTTGAATCCACAGCATCTTACGCGAACGGGAGCTCCCTTCTTTATGCACGTATCAACAAAGACATGCATGATTATTTAAGTTGCAAATGAAAAAGGACGCCAGTATTGGAACATATGTATGGACAACATGACGGGTGCATCATGCTGCTTGAGGTGGTCGTCATGAATGAGTGTGCAATGTTGTGGTAACACGATGTCCCATGGAGTGCACGGTTTGCAATGTTGCCAGAGGCGGCACGAGGGAAGGCCGCGAGAGAACCAGACTCCCTGCTGCTGTGTCCTTGTTTCAGCGTGTCCTCTCTGCAACAGGGTTCCGAGGGCCCCAGGGGGTTGTACGCTACACGACACCGCCACCAAATCGTCGCTAAAAACCCAAGTGGGAGGACAAAAGGCGCAAATAGCCAATCCTCCCACGCAGACCCGTCAAACATGGAGGCCCGGTAGACCTGCCTCATAAAGGGCTGAAACCCGCCGTCATTTCCCTCCTGACCATACTCACGGTTGACAATCTCGCCGGCCATCTTATACTTGGTCACGACGAAATCCTCCGCGATCGTGTGCTCTTCGTTGTCGCCCATGTTGCCGTTGTACAGAAAAACTCAAAATCTAAAGTTTCCCACGTGCAGGGTAGAGTGGCGGCCACTTGACTGGCGGGAAACACATTGGCACACGAGCTCCTCCCGTCAAGCCCGAGTCCGCAGACAAGAGAAGGCCG